CTATGGGTTCCTCATAGATAACACTCTAGTAACTACCTTTGCGGCGTCTGCAAAATTTCTGGACATCATTTTGACGACGCCTATTTCTTCCGCCGACACAGAGCGAACATTCAGCACGCTGAAGCGTATTAAAACGTATCTCAGAAACACAATGAAGCAAGATAGATTAAATTCCTGGGCTGTTTTATCCATTCACAGAGACGTTATTTCTGGGATGCATGACTTTAATCAGCGCGTTATTGAGCATTTTGCTTCCAAGAAACCGCGGCGTGTTGCATATATGTTCAAGCAGTAGAAGTCTAGCAGCATATATATCTATGAGTGAGCGACGCATGTCCTTATCTTTGCATTACCTTTCCTTTCTTTATAGTAACGTTTTAAACCTTATTTTAGGTTTTGTCTGCTTTCCCGAAGTTTCTGTTAATATGTCATTGTATTTATCTGGGTAAATATTGCCTTTCCTTTTGAAAGAGGTTTCAAAATGGACTATGTCTATATTTATTAATCCCTTGACTTGGACCGGTTTTAAAGACACTTTCTTATCGTTAAAAATTGTCGCTTTTGCCGATTGGTTGTTACCGATGGAATGGTTTTTATACTCATAAAATGATGGGAGAACCTACAGCGCTCATCCTGTCCCCGTAGATGGGGGTCCCGCAGTAGCTTGCCCCGGTTGTCAAAATGACTACGCGCCGCCACTGTTATTTAGCATGTTACTTGTTTTATATACACATACTTGATGATAGAGGGAACCATAATCAACTAGCGGCACATAATTGTGAACCACCCTGCGGCTTCGAGAGGCCAGCAGTCCTCTCGCAGATAATTAACCTACACGGGATGCGAACCTGCGTTGGGTAATCAGAGGATATCATATTATCGACTAGAGAAGGGGTGTGCAAGCTGCAGCCCGCGGGCCTCAAGAAAAATTGCGCGGCCCGCGGAAAAGTTCCAATTTTGGAGTTGTGGCTTTTAAAGGTTTTTAAATGTAGTTTAATTTGATACATGCGAGCAATTCCAATCCTTCTTGCGTCGCAAAGCCTACTATACCCGAGTCCAATTTATTATCTATATTTATGACGTTATAATGCCCTACCAGCTAGCTTCTGTGAATCAAACATCGCGATTCACAAAGCTATCACTTGCCGAGCAGCGAGCGATTTAAGGAAAGTGAAGAACGAATGACAATAAATTAGTAAGAACGGGCAATTAACCTTAAAAATGGAAAAGCAGTTTGAAAATTTTTACTATTGAAAGATACAGAAGCTAAATGAGTTTTAGTTTCAGCATATCAGTTAATTATGTCTAAATCTTGCCTAGAATTAGATAGGACTGTGGTGGAAGCCGACGAGACAGCTTATTCATACAGCCTTTAGTCTATTTACCAGTCCATGTTGGGATTAGTTAGCTAGTTACCGGTATTTGTTTGAGCTGCATGGACTCTATGGCAGAGGAAGCCGTAACCGACCAGCGGTTACGTGAACCACCCTACGGTGGCGAGGAGCCCAGCAATCCTCTCACGCATAATTTTATCTTTGGAGTGCAGAATTGTACTTAAAAAATGCAAGCAGATATGAACAATAGAAGGCTATGCATGTATATTGTACTAATATAGTAACTTGACAGAGCAAAGCCGTAGTTAGTTTGGAAATTGCAGGTTTTCGTATAATTAAGTCCCGTTGCGAATTGGGGAGAAAAGTGAACCTATTAAAATAAATTTTGTATAAACATATGTATAAACAATTTTGTATAAAAATTTGAAAAAAAGCAGTGTGATAGCACGTAGTTGAGTGCTGGATAATTCCCAAAATTATATGGGGTTGAAGTCATAACGGTAAGACAAAGAATTCTTGTAGACAACGAAAGAGCAGGTGTAGGTACAGCGGGGCGCTATTAGAAATCTGATGGCAGACCCCCTACTCTTCATAGTAAAATTTATGGGTCTTTATATAAAAAAATAAACATTTAATACTTGCTATAAAACAAATTTAGGGTAATGGGATGTTTTTATTGTTTTACTTTTAACATCAAGAAATGCAAAATAGGCAATTTCATTATACTCTTTCAGAAAAATACTTTTCTAGCCATTTTATCAGCAAATTCATTTAAAATCAACAGCTTCAGCAATTTTGCTTTCTATAAGAAGCATTGACAAACTGTTGAGTCTTTCAATTGCTTATGGTGACATAACGATAATTTCATAAATTTACCATGCATAACAAATCAATATTATGAGAAAGTTTATCTCACTTTATATTTTACGTTTTCAGCAGTATTTTGTACCTCATAATACAGATAAATAATACAGAAAAAACTAGAGCAGGGTGCGGGGCCCAATTTGATAAAAGCGGCAAAATCGGCCAAATCGGCTTGAAACCAGCCTTGAGGAAGAGATGTTACATCTTTTTTCAAAAAATGGTTCTATCTATTAAAGTACTTTTATTGACATTGGTAAATATATTGGGGAATATCATTTATGTCCAGCGTACACCCAGCATTTGGTTGCTACTCCATGTTTAGCGCTCAATGGTATTTTATAATTTTTGCTAGTTGCCTCTCCAGCGACATAGTGTTTTTAGATACGCATTCATTTGCATTACGTCGAAAATTTGAAAATTATGTCAAGCTGCAGTTGTTACGATACCCAAAAAATTGTCGCAAGTCGGAAAAACAAGTTGATTTATTGAAAATATAATTCGTACTTTTTTTGCTTTTTGGCAAATATTTGAAAATATAAACTTTTTATTAGGATGATTTTCTGTTGAGCAAAATATTCAAATCCATGACCGATACCAGCATTTAAAATGCCTTGCCGTATTAATTTAGCTCTTTTCAACATAACTCGTGGTTAAAAATAAAAGCATTAGCCAGCATAGTACTCTAGAATTTCACGGCCATCTGTTGACATAAAAAGTGTGGTAAACTGCCCGATAATTAATTTTTGATGGTACGTGCTCACTCACCTAAAATAATTGAAATATTACACACGCTCACACAAGTGATTACTCAGTTCAATGATTTGATAATTGTGCCAAGCGCTACAAATCAGGGTTGAAGCTGTAATGTCTTGTTGGCGCTAGGCTAGAGGCAAGCCTATCATCTTAGCTGGAGCCGCCGCAGCTTCGAGAAATTTCAGTGACTCCAGCCCTCAACCAATTAATTTCTTTTTCCAATTTATAATTTTCATACAAACTTTATACAAATGAAAAAATTCATCCTTTTTCAGTTTTAAAGTTTTTTTCAATAGTTAATTATTAATATTAACATCGCGATTCACAAAGCTATCACTTGCCGAGCAGCGAGCGATTTAAGGAGAGTGAAGAACGAATGCCAATAAATTAGTAAGAACGGGCAATTAACCTAACCTAACTTGACCTAAGAAATGAAAAAGCAGTTTGAAAAATTTTACTATTGAAAGATACAAAAGCTAAATGAGTTTTAGTTTCAGCATATCAGTTAATTATGTCTAAATCTTGCCTAGAATTAGATAGGACTGTGGTGGAAGCCGACGAGACAGCTTATTCATACAGCCTTTAGTCTATTTACCAGTCCATGTTGGGATTAGTTAGCTAGTTACCGGTATTTGTTTGAGCTGCATGGACTCTATGGCGGAGGAAGCCGTAACCGACCAGCGGTTACGTGAACCACCCTACGGTGGCGAGGAGCCCAGCAATCCTCTCACGCATAATTTTATCTTTGGAGTGCAGAATTGTACTTAAAAAATGCAAGCGGGTATGAATAATAGAAGGCTATGCATGTATATTGTACTAATATAGTAGCCTAACTTGACAGGGCAAAGCCGTAGTTAGTTTGGAAATTGCAGGTTTTCGTATAATTAAGTTCAGTTGCGAATTGGGGAGAAAAGTGAACCTATTAAAATAAATTTCGTATAAACATAAAGCTGTGTGATTTGAGCACAGAGTTGAGTGCTGGATAATTCCCAAAATTATATGGGGTTGAAGTCATAACGGTAAGACAAAGAATTCTTGTAGACAACGAAAGAGCAGGTGATAGGTACTGCGGGGCCCAATTAGAAATCTGATGGCAGACCCCCTACTCTTCATATTGTAATTTATGGGTCTTTATATAAAAAAAATAAACATTTAATACTTGCTATAAAACAAATTTAGGGTAATGGGATGTTTTTATTGTTTTACTTTTAACATCAAGAAATGCAAAATAGGCAATTTCATTATACTCTTTCAGAAAAATACTTTTCTAGCCATTTTATCAGCAAATTCATTTAAAATCAACAGCTTCAGCAATTTTGCTTTCTATAAGAAGCATTGACAAACTGTTGAGTCTTTCAATTGCTTATGGTGACATAACGATAATTTCATAAATTTACCATGCATAACAAATCAATATTATGAGAAAGTTTATCTCACTTTATATTTTACGTTTTCAGCAGTATTTTGTACCTCATAATACAGATAAATAATACAGAAAAAACTAGAGCAGGGTGCGGGGCCCAATTTGATAAAAGCGGCAAAATCGGCCAAATCGGCTTGAAACCAGCCTTGAGGAAGAGATGTTACATCTTTTTTCAAAAATGGTTCTATCTATTAAAGTACTTTTATTGACATTGGTAAATATATTGGGGAATATCATTTATGTCCAGCGTACACCCAGCATTTGGTTGCTACTCCATGTTTAGCGCTCAATGGTATTTTATAATTTTTGCTAGTTGCCTCTCCAGCGACATAGTGTTTTTAGATACGCATTCATTTGCATTACGTCGAAAATTTGAAAATTATGTCAAGCTGCAGTTGTTACGATACCCAAAAAATTGTCGCAAGTCGGAAAAACAAGTTGATTTATTGAAAATATAATTCGTACTTTTTTTGCTTTTTGGCAAATATTTGAAAATATAAACTTTTTATTAGGATGATTTTCTGTTGAGCAAAATATTCAAATCCATGACCGATACCAGCATTTAAAATGCTTTGCCGTATTAATTTAGCTCTTTTCAACATAACTCGTGGTTAAAAATAAAAGCATTAGCCAGCATAGTACTCTAGAATTTCACGGCCATCTGTTGACATAAAAAGTGTGGTAAACTGCCCGATAATTAATTTTTGATTCGTATTTTCATACTTACGAAAATATAAAAGCATTAAAAGTCTAACACGGCAATCCGTGGGCAAAAAATGTCTGGTCAAATAGCCAGATTGTAGAGTTGCAGTTATTCCATTGTTTATTGTATGCAACTAGTTAATTATTCGGAATCCCTGACTGAAATATTTGATGAAATATATGAAAATCAAAAGAAATTTCCATAAGACATAATGCGATAAACGGACCATACTTGCTAAATATTATAGACAGAATTGAAAAAAATAAATAAAAACAAATTGCTCGAAAATTTTGAAACAAAACGAAAAGTGATTATCTCAGACAGACAAACTGAAGAAATGTGGAACTCATATAATTTTAAATCAAATATTCCAATAAAATCATCCTCGGATACGGCGTCTGTGACTCACTAGAAGCCATCGAACTCAACCCCAGTATCAGCAATCAATGCTTTGAATCTTTCCAACTGATCATCGTTGAACTCGCAATACCGCATGTACAATTTTTTAACCTGACATTTACGAACAATTTCACTGGTTGTAGATAATCCTTCATCTCCGACTTTGCTGACTTGGTTCCAACTCAGATATAAGCTGTCGATCTGAAATGATACATGTTGTTATCATATAATATTTATGAATTGATATATAGGTCATGGTTAGGACGCATATAGGTCGGTTTTCTACTTCAGTATTTTGTCAAAAAAACGCTCATCTGACATTGTGGAATAGCTATCCAACTTCACCAGATTCAACAGGGCGGAGTGTTATCAGAGAATAGAAAAATGGCAAAAATATAGACCACAAAAATGATTGGTAAACCCAAATAAATAAAAACTGAAAATGAAATCAGGAGAGCAAACAAAACCTTAGATAAGGTTTAAAGCGTACAGTATATAAGATAGGAGGTTTTGCCAAACAGAAGTGGTACGTGCTCACTCACCTAAAATAATTGAAATATTACACACGCTCACACAAGTGATTACTCAGTTCAATGATTTGATAATTGTGCCAAGCGCTACAAATCAGGGTTGAAGCTGTAATGTCTTGTTGGCGCTAGGCTAGAGGCAAGCCTATCATCTTAGCTGGAGCCGCAGCTTCGAGAAATTTCAGTGACTCCAGCCCTCAACCAATTAATTTCTTTTTCCAATTTATAATTTTCATACAAACTTTATACAAATGAAAAAATTCATCCTTTTTCAGTTTTAAAGTTTTTTTCAATAGTTAATTATTAATATTAATCTATAACTTCAATTTTCAAATTTATATAAATAAAATTTTATTTTATTCATTTTATTTTAAATAATTCAATTTATTAAGCGTTGAGATAAATTGAATGGGCAATGCTGAAACCTGAAATATTTCGGTTTGTCAAACTCATTAAAGGTTGCGTTCTCATTAAAGGTTGCGTTCACAGAGCTTCGTTCTAAGCGTAAAGCGTGTAATAATGTTGCATAATACAGCAACGTCCAAAACATTTGGGTGTCGCTGCTCGATAACCAGTTTGGTTCCCTGCGAGTCTGCGACTTCCCTTCCCCTGTAAAACTGTGTAAAATTTTTTTTTTGTCATAATTTTTGATTGTGATATTTTTTACTGATTCAATGTTAATTTTTATATACAGTTGTTATTGCAGTTGGCAATAGTTAATGCATTGCCTTCAAAACAGGAAACCTCGGCATCAAACAAAAATGAACAGTCACTCAGATATATAAGCAGGACTGTCACTGCATGGATAGAGCCTACAACATTAGTTTCCAACCTTTTACCCCTTTGGAATGGCAACACAAAAAATATGGCTCATGGACCAGTCAAATTTTCAAAATGTATGGAACAGATGTGTTGTTTCGACCAAAATAATTTGTAGTGAATGTCTGATTAAACACCAACAAATACGAATATTTGCCACAGCTTTAATCCCGGCAAGCGATTAATTGAATTAAATATTTATTCATCTGACATTGTAAAATAGCTATCCAACTTAACCAAAATCAGCAGTGCGAAGAGTTATCAGAGAATACAAGAAAAATGGCAAAAATATAACCGCTAAGAAAATAAAAACATTTTCACCGGGCCTCAAGTAATTTGTGAAACTGCTAAAAATATTATTGTATTGTTTTCCCCTTGCCTGTTTCTCTAATAAAAGCCTTTATACACTCACTATTACCCCAAATAATATAAGTTAATTACTAAGATATCACTCAGTTCAACGATTTACCAATTGTGCTAAGCACTGCGAAAAAGGGTCGAAGCTGTGATGTCTTGTTGGAGCTGGAGCCAAGCCTATCATTTTAGTTGGAGGCGAAGCTTCCAGGAACTTTAGTGACTCAAGCTCTCGACCAATTAATTATTTTTCACATTCATAAATTTCTTAGAATCTTTATACCAATGATAAAATCCATTATTTTTCAGTTTTTTTTTTATTTTTTCAACAGTTCATTTCTGATATTATGTCACAATTTCAGAGTTGAATTTGTATAATTAAAATTTCCATTCAATATTCACTTAATTTAGAAAATTATTTTAATAAGCGTTGGTCATAACTGTATAGATATAGATATTCCCGAAAAATTGTTCATATACTTTAGTATTGCAAAATTTGTGATGCATAATTGGGGATTGTTTTGGAGATATGCGCTTACAAACTGGTTTAGAGAAAATCTACGATAGACTGGGATTAAATTAGCTGACAATCTGTTAGCGGGATGGATGGCTCTAAACAGGTTGTTAGCTAATTTATGCCCAGTCTATCGTAGATTTTCTGGGAATAGTTTTTATTGCATTAAATTGGAGCGCGTAGGAAGTTATAACGACATTTAAGATATTCAATAAACAACTTATTTATGAAAAAATTGTTACGTTATTGTTGACCTTTTAGTGATTGGTCACTGTTCCTGAAATAAACAAGAAAATCGAAGCTCGGGAAAAATATCCATTACATCACAGATTAAAATTTTCAGATTCCATTCCTATGCCCTCCACCTCATGGTTTGTTAAATAGTTTGGGCAATGCTGAACCTGAAATATTTCAGTTTGTCAAACTCATCAATGGCTGCTTGTACAGAGTTTTGTTACGAGTGTAAAGCATGTGATAATGTCGTATAATACAGCAATCTCCAAAACATTTGGGTGTCGCTGCTCGATAACCAGTTTGGTTCGTCGCGACTTCTCTTCCCCAGTAAGTAAATTATGTTTTTGTCGTAATTTATGATTGCGATATTTTTAACTGGTTGAAAATATAAACTTGACTTGACATTTCTAAATTATGGCAAATATATGTTCAGGTATGTGAACTGGTTTTACCTTTGCATTACTAGTGTTTTCCTTGAATGCTTTCATTCCTTCTGCTGTAAGATTGCAAAACTGAGCCTTCAATACCTTCACCTGGCATTTTGAAACAACTGTTCCAACTTCACCAAAGCCAGCAGTTCCAAGACTATCATTCCAACTGACATCTAGTTTATCCAACTGAAATAAATAAGATCAGTGAACTAATGTAAATGAACTCGGTCACAAAATGTGATCGTGATAGGAAATAAAAGTATGAGAAATGAAGAAAGCAAACTTCAAAAACTGATTGATCAAAGTGGACAATTTTTTTTATCAAAAATTCAACTGTCTGTAGTTTTGATGGAAATTTAACCCAAACAAAATCTGATAGCTGATTGATTAAAATTTTCCTAGTTAATTAAGACAGATATACTACTACATGAAGAAAAGTCTTCTTGGTAATTAAGCTTTTTCGAATACCAGAGACCAATTTTGTAAAATTCTATTGAAAAAATATTCACATACAAAATAGAAAAAAGCAGTATTTGACTTTTTGAAGGGTCACTTTATTCAAGTTGACTTATACAGTTGTTACTGCAGTGGGCGATAGCAATGCATTGTCTTCAATACAGAAAACCTCAACATCAAACATAAATGAACAGTCACTCAGATATATAAGCAAGACTTTCACTGCATGGATAGAGCCTGGAACAGTGGTTACCAATCATTAATTACCATGCGGACTGGGAACACCCAAAAATACATTTAAACACTAAAAAATATAGGTTTATTCGCCAAAGCGTTAATCCCGGCAAGCGGTTAATTAAAAACGATGACTAAAACTTGAGTGATATTCGTTTTCATGGTTGCTTTGGCGATCATTCAAGAACAAATTTGGAATAGAAAATATGGGCAAATCAAATATCACGACCAGAGATATGAGTTTAGTTTTTTTTTGAAACAACAGAAAACTGCAAATAACGTGCAAAACCATAAAAAAGGCAATGCTCACAACTATGCTGAATATTTGTCTGAGCAAATTAAGTGTCTGAGCGGGTGCACATATTGCCTATCCATTGCATCATAGTGTTTAAAACTCTCAGATTCCGCTCCCATGCACCACCATTTATCAAAAATTCAACTGTCTGTTGTTTTGATGGAAATGTAACCCAATCAAATCTGATAGCTGATTTAAATTTTCTTCGTTAATTAAGACATATATACTACATGAAGAAAAGTTTCTTATTATTTAGGCTTTTTGCAATTACAAGCGACCATTCTATTTGAAATGATATTGGCGTACATGTAGAGAGAGAAAAGGGGTATTTCACGTTTCAAGAGGCATTTTGTTTAGGTTACCCCTGCTAACCGACAATACGCAACAATATGGCTCTTGCGCCAGCAGTTAAATTATGAAACAGGCGTGTTATTTTGATCAAAATATATTGTAGTGAATGTCCGATTAAACACTAACAAATATGATTAGTTGCCAAAGTGTTAATCTCGGCAAGCGGTTAATTGAAGACGATGTAACAAACTTGGGTGAAATTTGTTTTCATGGTTGGTTTTGCGATCATTCAATAATAAATTTGGAATAGAAAATATGGGCAAATGAAATATTACGACCAGAGATATGAATTTAAGTACTTTTTTTTTGGAACAACAGAAAACTGACAAATAACACGCAAACCCATGAAAATGAGGCAACATTCACAACCATGCTGAATATATGTCTGAGCGGAAGAAGCATCTTGAGCGAATGCACAAATTGCAATTGTTACGTTATTGTTGACTTATTAGTGATTGGTCGTTGTTACGGAAATAAACAAGGAAATAGAAGCTTCAGATCCCACTCCCATGCCCACACTACAGAGTGAGATAAATTGAATGGGCAATGCTGGAACCTGAAAAATTTCGGTAATTCAAGCTCATTAAAGACTGCGTTCACAAAGCTTCGTTCTGAGCGTGAAACGTGTAATAATGTCGCATAATACAGCAACAGCCAAAACATTTGGGTGTCGCTGCTCGATAACCAGTTTGGTTCCCTGCGACTTCCCTTCCCCTGTAAAATTGTGTGAAATTTTTTTTTTGTCATAATTTATGATTGTGATATTTTTTACTGATTCAATGTTAATTTTTATATACAGTTGTTATTGCAGTTGGCAATAGTTAATGCATTGCCTTCAAAACAGGAAACCTCGGCATCAAACAAAAATAAACAGTCACTCAGATATATAAGCAGGACAGTCACTGCATGGATAGAGCCTACAACATTAGTTTCCAACCTTTTACCCCTGCGAATTGGCAACACAAAAAAATATGGCTCATTGTCCAGTCAAATTTTCAGATGTGTTGTTTCGATCAAAATAATTTGTAGTGAATGTCTGATTAAACACCAACAAATACGATTATTTGCCACAGCTTTAATCCCGGCAAGCGATTAATTAAATTAAATATTTATTCATCTGACATTGTAAAATAGCTATCCAACTTAACCAAAATCAGCAGTGCGAAGTGTTATCAGAGAATACAAGAAAAATGGCAAATATATAAGCCGCTAAGTAAATAAAAACATTTTCACCGGGCCTCAAGTAATTTGTGAAACTGCTAAGAATATTATTGTATTGTTTTCTTCTTGCCTGTTTCTCTAATAAAAGCCTTTATACACTCACTATTACCCCAAATAATATAAGTCAATTACTAAGATATCACTCAGTTCAACGATTTACCAATTGTGCTAAGCACTGCGAAAAGGGTCGAAGCTGTGATGTCTTGTTGGAGCTGGAGCCAAGCCTAACATTTTAGTTGGAGGCGAAGCTTCCAGGAAATTTAGTGACTCAAGCTCTCGACCAATTAATTATTTTTCACATTCATAAATTTCTTAAAAATTTTATACCAATGATAAAATCCATTATTTTTCAGTTTTTTTTTATTTTTTCAACAGTTAATTTCTGATATTATGTCACAATTTCAGAGTTGAATTTGTATAATTAAAATTTCCATTCAATATTCACTTAATTTAGAAAATTATTTTAATAAGCGTTGGTCATTACTGTATAGATATAGATATTTCCGAAAAATTGTCCATATACTTTAGTATTGCAACATTTGTGATGCATAATTGGGGATTGTTTTGAAGATATGGCGCTTACAAACTGGTTTAGAGAAAATCTACGATAGACTGGGCATAAATTAGCTGACAACCTGTTAGCGGCATGGATGGTTCTAAACAGGTTGTTAGCTAATTTATGCCCAGTCTATCGTAGATTTCCCTGGAATAATTTTTATTGCATTAAATTGGAGCGCGTAGGAAGTTATGACGACATTTAAGATATTCAATAAACAACTTATTTATGAAAATATTGTTACGTTATTGTTGACCTTTTAGTGATTGGTAACTGTTCCTGAAATAAACAAGAAAATCGAAGCTCAGGGAAAATATCCAATTACATAACAGTTGAAATTTCCAGATTCCATTCCTATGCCCACCACCTCATGGTTGTTAAATAGTGTGGGCAATGCTGTACCTGAAATATTTCAGTTTTTCAAACTCATCAAAGGCTGCTTGTACAGAGTTTTATTACGAGTGTAAAGCATGTGATAATGTCGTATAATACAGCAATCTCCAAAACATTTGGGTGTCGCTGCTCGATAACCAGTTTGGTTCGTCGCGACTTCTCTTCCCCAGTAAGTAAATTATTTTTTTTGTCGTAATTTATGATTGTGATATTTTTTACCGGTTGAAAAAATAAACTTGACTTGACATTTCTAAATTATGGCAAATATATGTTCAGGTATGTGAACTGGTTTTACCTTTGCATTACTAGTGTTTTCCTTGAATGCTCTCATTCCTTCTGCTGTCAGATTGCAATCCCGAGCCTGCAATACCTTCACCTGACATTTTGAAACAACTGATCCAACTTCACCAAAGCCAGAAGTGCCAAGATTATCGTTCCAACTGATATCTAGTATTTCCAACTAAAATAAATAAGATCAGTGAACTAATGTAGATGAACTCGGTCACAAAATGTGATTGTGACAGGGAATAAAAGTATGAGAAATGAAGAAAGCAAACCTCAAAAACTGATTGATCAAAATGGACGAATATTTTATCAAAAATTTAACTGTCTGTTGTTTTGATGTAAATTCAACCCAAAGAAAAAATGATAGCTGATTAAGATTTTACAAGTTGATCAGGGCATATACACTGCATGGAAAAAAAGTTTCTTGATAATTGAGTGTTTTCAATTACCAGAAGCCAATTCTATTGAAAAATATTTGCTCACGAAAGAGGAAAGATGGTGTATTTGACTTTTCATGTGGAATTTTGTTTAGGTTGACTTATATATATATACAGTTGTTATTTCAATGGGCAATAGCAATGCATTGCCTTCAACACAGAAACCTTCGCATCAAACAAAAATGAACAGATACTCTTAAATATAAAAGCAAGACTGTGCTTGCATGGATAGAACCTAGAACAGTGATTCCCATCTTTTACCCCTGCGAACCGACAATACGCAACAATATGGCTCATGCGCCGGCAGTGAAATTATGAAACCGGCGTGTTGTTTTGATCAAAATATATTGTAGTGAATGTCCGATTAAACACTAACAAATATGATTAGTTGCCAAAGTGTTAATCTCGGCAAGCCGTTAATTAAAGACGATGTATCAAACTTGAGTAAAAATTGGTTTTCATGGTTGGTTTTGCGATCATTCAATAATAAATTTGGAATAGAAAATATGGGCAAATGAAATATTACGACCAGAGATATGTGTTTGAGTACTTTTTTTTGGAACAACAGAAAACTGACAAATAACACGCAAACCCATGAAAATGAGGCAACATTCACAACCATGCTGAATATATGTCTGAGCGGAAGAAGCATCTTGAGCGACTGCACAAATTGCAATTGTTACTTTATTGTTGACTTATTAGTGATTGATCATTGTTACGGAAATAAAAAAGGAAATAGAAGCTTCAGATCCCACTCCCATGCCCACCACTACAGAGTGTGATAAATTGAATGGGCAATGCTGAAACCTGAAAGATTTCGGTTTGTCAAACTCATTAAAGGTTGCATTCACAGAGCTTCGTTCTGAGCGTAAAGCGTGTAATAATGTTGCATAATACAGCAACATCCAAAACATTTGGGTGTCGCTGCTCGATAACCAGTTTGGCTCCCTGCGACTTC